GTACAGAAATCCTAATGGTTAGTTAGCTCACTCCATGCTGCGACAAGGAACTTAGTCAGCGCTCTCAACGAATCCCACATCCTAAAACTCTTGTGCATGAAAACTTGTGAGTGCTGGACACACATTTGAGTTCAGACACATACTTCGTAACACACTGTATTTTTTCCGGTGCCTGCTAAAAAACGTTTTTTGTTTAGGCAAGCCTACTCAAGCTGTTTGGAAATTTGAAGCAAGTTTTTAAGTAAACTGTTATTTTAACTGTTTTTAAAGTCTTTTTTTAAAACAAGTATAATGTTACTTTAACTGTTTTTAAAGTCTTGAATTATTGTTTCCCCTCCCCCTGGTAATTTTATTGTTGTATGTTTTTCACAAACCCCTTGAGGTTGTTGCTTTCTTACAACCTAGCAGAGCATTTAAAATAAATAAATAAATAAATAGAACAAATATTTAGCCAACTGCTAAAATAATATAAAAAAAGGATGACTATTTATAACGACAAAATAATGTGCTGTATCCAGAGTGGCAATGAGCAATGTGTCCCAACATTGCAAGGATTTCTCTGTACAACAGGCTTTTTCTTTCCCTTAAATCTGCTCTTGGGGTTCCCCATACCCTCTGGAGCAAGTTGGAGAGGGTGCATAGCTGTCAACTTTTCCCTTTTCTTGCGAGGAATCCTATTCGGAATAAGGAGATTTCCCTTAAAAAAAGGGGAAACGTTGACATGAGAGGGTGAACACCCAGAGGAGCAGAACGTGCGAAAGTCCCACAGGGCAAGCAGAAATCATGACATTTTGTCATTTTGTTTTCCTGCCCAAAGGGAACTTTCTTTCACATTCGTCGCCCCGCCCACTTCTGCCTCTGGCCCCGCCCACCACTGCCACATGGCCCTTGGGAGATTGCCCAATATGGCTGGGAAAAGGTTCCCCATCAAGGAGGACTGCTCCCATAAAAGAGGACACCCACGCACCCTGATTTGGATCATGGTGGAAGGTTACATCCTGGCACGGAAGATTTTGAAGCAAAAAGACCTTGTTATGTACTGAGTTGAATAGGATCCAAAATGCAGCAGTCTGATTGGTCCTAGAACAATAGGGTCCAGAATGCAGCAGTCTGACTGGTCCACAGGAGCCACCCAATCCAGCTCCAGGTGGAAGGGAATCCGCAACCTGATTGGCCTACAGGAGAATCCCGGAATTAGCCAATCACATGGGGCCCATTGTGTAAATAATGTATATAAAGCAGACATTCTGGGGGAACTTCCATTCCTCCTCACCACTATGAGCTGAATAAAGAGCATGAAATCCACACTCGACTCCAAGTATATTTCAGACCTCTGGGGGGCTGGGGAGAGTAGCAAACAAAAATAATGGTCTCCTGAGGACGTGCAGAGTGCCTGCTGTTCTTCACTGGAGGAATAAATGTGGGACAAGGGAGGGCAACTGTATCAGGCTAGAATCCCCAGAGACTTGTCACACACACAAACAGTGAGGGGGGGAAAGTATTTGATCCCCTGCTAAAATTGCCCGTTTGCCCTCTGACGAAGAAATGGCCAGTCCATAATTTTAATGGTAGGTTTATTGTAGCTGTGAGAGACAGAATAACAACAGGAAAACCCCCAGAAACCCAGAAGACAAAAGTCACAGCTACAATAAAACCTACCATTAATATTATGGACCGGTCGTTTCTTCGTCAGAGGGCAAACGGGCAAATTTAGCAGGGGATCAAATCCTTTCCCCCCCTCACTGTATATATTTAAACTAAGCTAAACTCCTGAACTTCAGCTTTGCAGAAAGGGGAAAGGGGGAAAAAAGGCTGAACCAGCGTAACTTCTTCCTCCTCTTGGCCTGGACAGTTACAGTAACATTCCCCTCGTATTACTTCACCAGAAGGAGCAGAAATCGTTTAGCTGTTTGGCTGGGGTGTTTGGAAAAGAACGGAGCGCTCTCGTTCCTTGGGAAATAAAAGAGCAGCGAGCCGAGGGGAACTTGAAAGCCAAGGTTAAACACACCACACCATTCCCTCTCCGACTGAGCGGGCCAACTCGACACCCCACCCCGCCCTTCTGCGATTTGGCAGGCGGCTTGCGAGTGCAGAGGTCGAGCTTCAGAGCGATCAAGAGACTAGTCCCTGGGGACAGAAGGACTGTTCCTTCGAAAAGCACACCACAAAGACGCCTAAACTTCCGCCCTCTCTTATATAGACAGACACACTAGTTGCCACCCGGGTGCCCTTTATGTTCCCAATTTTGACCTGTATAGAATCATAGAATCATAGCAGCCACGAAATTAAAAGATGCCTGCTTCTTGGGAGAAAAGCGATGGCAAACCTAGACAGCATCTTAAAAAGCAGAGACATCACCTTGCCGACAAAGGCCCGTGTAGTTAAAGCTATGGTTTTCCCAGTAGTGATGTGTGGAAGTGAGAGCTGGACCATAAAGAAGGCTGATCGCAGAAGAATGGATGCTTTTGAATTCTGGTGCTGGAGGAGACTCTGGAGAGTCCCATGGACTGCAAGAAGATCAAACCTATCCATTCTGAAGGAAATCAGCCCTGAGTGCTCACTGGAAGGACAGATCCTGAAGCTGAGGCTCCAAGACTGTGGCCACCTCATGAGAAGAGAAGACTCCCTGGAAAAGACCCTGATGCTGGGAAAGATGGAAGGCACAAGGAGAAGGGGACGACAGAGGACGAGATGGTGGGGGAACAGTGTTCTCAAAGCTACAAACATGAGTTTGACCAAACTGCGGGAGGCAGTGGAAGACAGGAGCGCCTGGCGTGCTCTGGTCCAGGGGGTCATGAAGAGGTGGACACAACTAAACGACTAAACAACAAGAATCATAGAATTTATTTTTATTTTTTTTAGTTTAGAAGGGGCACCACTGAGGTCATCCAATCGAACCCACGAGAGATTCTGGTAGTGACAGGGATCAAGCATCTCTTTAAGGGTTTTTCTGGCTTGTGCATCAGGGCTCCCCATTTTGCCAGGCCAAGCCCACCTGCCAATCACCTGGAAGCACCTATGATGCCAGGTGTGGACAGGTAAAAAGGCCGTCTGAAAGCAGCCTCCTAAGCAACAACAACCGGCTGATAATCAGCAAGTGTAGACACTCCTGAAGTCCTGACAATCAGCTGATTGGGGCTGACAAAACCTCAGCTTCTGAAGTTCCCCTTGATCAGCATATCAATCGGACTTCAAAGGACAGCGCAGGGCTTTGACGTCCCGACCACCAGCTGGTTGTTGGGACTTCAAAGCTCCACATCACCTGCCAAGCATCGTGATGTCAAATTTGGCCCATAGTGGGGTAGGGCCGTGCTCCTCCTCTGCTCTATTTAAGCATCCCCAGCAAAGGAGAGCCCGCCATGTCCTGAGGCAGGCAGTTCCACAGATGAACAGCTTTCCCCATGAAGCTCAAGCTTCTAGTCCACATGGTTGCAAAAGCAGGCTCAAAAGGGCATGAAAACAGAAGGAATCAGCTGGGATACTGAGCTTTTCAGCTGTAACTAGAATAAAAACGATGCAAATGTTTGCCATTTAGCTTAATATATGCAAGCTGCAAAATCTGGATTTTCCTTGTGCAGTATTTGGGGAAAACCCAGGAGCAAGAGGTTTGAGTTTTGAGCACAAAGACCATCTGCATACCCTGCCCCCGAAACAGACATAACTCAGATGCAATGGCCTGAATAATCTATGCAAATTAAACTCATTTGGGCATAATTTATTCCACTCACCATGGGGGAGGGGCAAGGTGCTGCAAAGACCAACAAGGACCTGATGCCTTGCAACTCAAAGCCCTGATCACCCTTAGCTGAGCTTAAGAACCTAAAAAGAGCTTGCAGAATCAGGCCAAAAGCGGTCCAGCATCGTGTTCTCACCGTGGCCAACCAGGTGGGAAATCTGATAACAGGATTCGAACACAAGAGCAACTCCCCCCTCCTGCAGTTTCTAGCAATCAATCAAAGCGATAAAACGGCATCTCCTGGATGCAATGCGGATGTCCCAGCACTGAACAATGGCCCTCTATCTAAAAATAAAGCAAGGTTCCAGTCCTCATGTTTCTGAAGAAAGATACCTTCTGCATGCAAAGCAGGTTCTCTACCGCTGAAAGGTCCTGCCCTCTCCCGATGCCACGTTTCTCAAACTTGTTTTCAACTGGGGGGGTCATTTCCTAAGCACCCCCCACTCCCCTCTCAAGCCACCTTGGCTCATGGGAGCCGAAAATGGTTGCATCGGGATAGAAGCGTAGTGCTGGAGAGTTGGAAGAGACCACAAGCGCCATTTAGCTCATCTCCCTGCAATGCAGGAATCTTTTGCGCAGTGTGGGATTCGAACCCGTGACCCATGAGATTAGGGGACTCCTATTCTGCTGGCAGGGACACGGGTGGCGCTGTGAGTTAAACCACAGATCCTAGGACTTGCCAATCAGAAGGTCGGTGGTCCGAATCCCCGTGACGGGGTGAGCTCCCGTTGCTCGGTCCCTGCTCCTGCCAACCTAGCAGTTCGAAAAAACGTCAAAGTGCAAGTAGATAAATAGGTACCGCTCCAGAGGGAAGGTAAAGGGTGTTTCCGTGCGCTGCTCTGGTTCGCCAGAAGCGGCTTAGTCCTGCTGGCCACATGACCAGCTGTATGCCGGCTCCCTCGGCCAATAAAGCGAGATGAGCGCCGCAACCCAAGAGTCGGTCATGACTGGACTTAATGGTCAGGGGTCCCTTTACCTTTATTCCGCTGGCAAGGCTGCTCTGGGCGAATGGGGGCCGCCGGCAGCCTGGAGGTTGAACGCTCGGTCGATTGTGATTGCACCCCACCTTTTTCCTCCAAGGTGGCATGTGTGGTTCTCCCCATCCTCACTTAGCCCGCACAACAACCCTGTGAGGCAGATTGGGCTGAGAGGCAGCGACTGGCCGCCCCACTCCAAGGTCACACCCAGTGCACTTTGTGGCCGAGTGAGGATTCGAACTCAGGTCTGCCTAGTCCGACCCTCTGACAGACGCGTCCTGCTGGCGATGGGGAGCGGGCCTGCGAATCGGGTGCAACCTGGGTGGCTCGGTCTCCAGCTTGGTGTATTATGGGATGTTGAAGACCCCCTCTTCCTCCAGGTGCAGGAGACACCCCCCCCAAGACACCTGCTCCAGAACTCGGGATCTCTGCCAGAACGAGCGGCTGATGCGCTGGGAGGAATTACGCCACAAGAAGTCTTAAAAAGCAAACTTTTGGAACGGAGAGCCTTTGGAGAGGCTCCGATCCGTGCTCCTCGCTCGGCCGGAACATTCCAGTTCATCCTGTCGTCCTCAGGGAGCCAAGCTTTGCCGACCTACGCAGGGAATGAGGAGGAGTTTTTTGGGGTGGAGGCGTCCAGGCCGGCTGACAGAGCTCTCCTCCGCTGGTCACGCTTTGGTGTGACGGCTACCGAGGGACCCCAGAAGACTGGCGTCGACGTTCGGAGGAGGAGGAGGAAGGAGCCAGGAGGACACGGCCTTTCTCTGAAGGGACTTGCCAGCTAGGCCAGAGGTCTTGGCAAGTGACGTCTCCTCCCCACGCGGATCGCGTCCCTTGGCAAATGCCCTGCTCATACTTTCGCCACTGCGATCCTGCCAGGGTGCGGCACATCCCTGGAATTTGAGGTCCCTTTTGGGAGGGAAAAAAAGCCTTGCCTCAAAATGGAAATGGGGGAGTTTGGAAAAAGGTTCAGGAAAGGGCAAGCCGATCCATCAAGTGCTTGGGGCTTCTTAATGTGGAGGAAAGGCGAGCAAGAGGCAGCAGGATGGAAGTTTTGAAAATTACGCATGGCCTGAGGAAAATGGAAAAAGACAGAAGTTTTCTTCTCTTTTAACACTAGAATTCGTGGGCATCAAATGCAGCTGATCGTGGAAGATTCAAATAATAATACACTGGTACCTCGGGTTACATACGCTTCAGGGTATAGACTCCGCTAACCCAGAAATAGTGCTTCAGGTTAAGAACTTTGCTTCAGGATGAGAACAGAAATCGCGTGGCGGTGGCAGCGGCAGCAGGAGGCCCCATTAGCTAAAGTGGTGCTTCAGGTTAAGAACAGTTTCAGGTTAAGAACAGACCTCCAGAACGAATTAAGTACTTAACCTGAGGTACCACTGTAATTAATAATAATAATAATAATAATTTGATTTATACCCTGCCCTCCCCGGCCAACATAATAGGGGGAAAAGAGAAGAGGGGGGGAAACCCTATTTAAAATACAGGTTAAAATGGCATTTAAAATGCAGCCTCATTTTAAAGTAGCTGATAAATCAAGACCACAAGGGGAGGGAAACATAAGGGTCAGAACTAGTCCAAACCAAAGGCCAGGCGGAACAGCTCTGTCTTGCACACCCTGCGGAAATATGTCAAGTCCCTCAGGGCCCTGGTCTCTTGTGACAGAGTGTTCCACCACGTCGGGGCCAGCGCTGAAAAGGCCCTGGCCCTAGTTGCGACCAATCTAACATCCTTGAGGCTCAGGACCTCCAAGGTGTTGTTATTTGTGGACCTTAAGGTCCTCCGCGGGGCATACCAGGAGAGGAGGTCCCGTAGGTACGTGGGTCCTAGGCTGCATTAGGTAAAAGAAAGTCCTTTACACAGCACATAGCTGAACTGTGGAACTCACTTCCGCAGGAGCCATTGACTACTACCAACTTGGATTCCCTCCCGCCTATGAATGCTGGAATGAGGTCTGTGGAAATGTCCATTCCCTACCTGGAAGTACATCAGGCAAGAGGCGGAGCCCTGTGGGTCAAGGGGCGGGGCTTCTGTTTTTGGATCTGACTCAGCATTTCATGGGGGGGGGGCGGGAATCCTGAGTCATGTTTTCTGCCCAGCTTACCACTGTGTGCTCACTGAAGGAGGGGGAAATAGCAGACATAAGGCTCCATTCCTTTAACAGCTGCTGAGCAGGCAGATACCCAACAGGCGAAGCTTGTCCAAGCGCACATATTTATTTAAGGCATGGCGCTTTCGCACAAAAGGTGTACTGTTGGATCAACGTCTTTTCTTTAATAATAATAATAATAATAATAATAATAATAAACTTGATGAAAGATTAAGGTGCTGGGGTAAAAATCTGGTTTTGGGAAGGACGTCAGGTAGAGAGTCACAATCGGTTTGCTGTGCTTCGTTTTTTTAGCTCCTGCGAAAAGAGATCTCCTTTCTTTTCCGTGCTAGCTTCAGGCTGACACAGGAAAGGGATTTAAAAGGGTTTGCGCGCAGGATTAGGGCCTAAAATAAAAGGTTGGGGTCTTAACCCTTGGAAGGCTGGTGGTTTCCGGAGCCCACCAGCCTGTGGGAGAAGGAATTAATGCAGGCATTCAGTCTCTCTCTCTCTTGCAAAAAAGAATATATATATATAGATATTTAAAATCCTGAAGAAACCTTGAGAGTTGCAGAGCTCTCCCAACCCACGCCACACAAGCCTTTTCAGATGTGGGAGCAGCCTTTAAAAACATGGAACAGGATTGTCTTCAGACGGCTTGGGGGTCAGATAATGCCGTACCCTCCAATATCCTAAGGGAAAGCGGGGCATTCTGGGATCAAATCAAAAACCTTCTCTAAATCAGGGATGTCCCTGGAAAATAGGGACACTTGGAGGGTCTGAGAAATGTGTTTTCTTCCTCTCTTGTAGCGCTAGAACTGGTGGATGTTAAAAAAAAGTATTTCGTGCAGCATGGAACTTTGGAACTCCCTTCCACAGGAGACAACAATGGCCGCACGCCTATTTGGTTTTAAAAGAGGATGAGACCATTTTGCGGAGGAAGAGAGGGCTATTGACGGCTACTAGTCTTGATGGATATTCTCTGCCTTCACAGCTGGAGAGACATCACCTTCCGGCAAAGGTCCGTATAGTTAAAGCTATGGTTTTCCCAGTAGTGATGTATGGAAGTGAGAGCTGGACCATAAAGAAGGCTGATCACCAAAGAATGGATGCTTTTGAATTCTGGTGCTGAAGGAGACTCTTGAGAGTCCCATGGACTGCAAGAAGATCAAACCTATCAAATTCTGAAGGAAATCAGCCCTGAGTGCTCAGTGGAAGGACAGATCCTGAAGCTGAGGCTCCAAGACTTTGGCCACCTCCTGAGAAGAGAAGACTCTCTGGAAAAGACCCTGATGTTGGGAAAGATGGAGGGCACAAGGAGAAGGGGACGACAGAGGACGAGATGGCTGGACAGTGTTCTCGAAGCTACCAGCATGAGTTTGACCAAACTGTGGGAGGCAGTGGAAGACAGGAGGGCCTGGCATGCTCTGGTCCAGGGGGTCACGGAGAGGTGGACACAACTAAACGACTAAACAACAACAAATGCTGCTGAATCCCAGTTGTTGAAAGCCACAGTGGGGAAAGGGCTCTTGTGATGGGATTTCCTAGTTGCGGGTTTTCCGGGCATCCGGGTGGCCTCTGTGAGAACAGGATGCCAGACCAGGTGGGCCATTGGCCTGATCCAGCAGGCTCGTTTTATGTTCTAATGGAACCTCCAGGTCCAGAGGCAGTCTATCTGCGTTCCTAGGTTTCTGAAGGGCATTCGGCTCCCGTGAGAGCAGGAGGCTAGGCTATACGGGCCATTGGCCTTGATCCAGCAGGGCTTCTTCTTACGTTCTCACGGCGGGGCCAAGAAACGTTCTGAGTGAGCCTGGGATTCTCTTTTCCACCGCTCAACAATTCCTGCAGATGGGAGGCTCCCTGTCCAGCCGTGATTGTCCATCTGTTCATTGTTAACCGATGAAGCAATGAGGGCTGTTCTTTCGCTCTCCGTCGAGGGAAAGGGAGAATTTCGAGCGCTCTTCATCACTGCTGCTGCGCTCTAAAGGAAGGCTTGAGGACCAGCCAAAGCTTCCTTCCCCATGGGGACCGGACGGCGCGGATGCATACAGTGGTAGGGCACGGTTGCGAATCGAGGGTTAAACAACCTAACGCTGCAGCAGCAGCAGCAGCAAACTTCAGAGAGGATGGAGAAGGGAAAGGAATATTCTTTGTTACAGAGCACCTGGCAAGCACACAGAGAGAGACCCATGGCCAATGGAATGAGTAATGGTTTCTCCCATGTAAACACACACACACACAAAATTGGGTCAAAACCATCCCTTCCCTTTGGCTGGGGCGCAGCTGTAAGAGTTCTGTCATTTCACGTGCATGGAAATGTCAAACACACTCCAGGGCTTTTGACTTGCCTAGTCACCAGTGGTGACTCAGCAATGGCTACAAGCGACCAGGCCATTTATGATTACTTAATAATAATAATAATAATAATATCTATATACCACCCTATACCTGCAGGTCTCAGGGTGGTTGCAACACAAAATCACAATATAAAAACACAAAACGCACAATAAAAACATGTTTTAAAAGGGCATTGAATGTCAATCAGCCAAAGGCCTAGTTAAAGAGGAACATTTTTTTACCTGGTGCCTAAAGGTGTATAAGGAAGGTGCCAGCTGAACCTCCCTGGGGAGAGCATTCCACAAATTTTAAAAATTTCCCTGAGTATTATTATTATTATTATTATTATTATTATTATTATTATTATTATTATTATTATTATTATGCAAGCTAGAAGAGAGTTGGCCCTTTTAAATTTCTGCTTTTGGGGAACAAATCTCCAGTGACATACAAGTTTCTCCTCCCCAGACCTTGCAGTCAAAGAACTTGATCCTAAGGCTGTGGTGCAGAAACCTCTTCATATATTCATAATAACCAACAGCACACACATAACAAATCTTGTCCGGGAACTTAGTTCTGGCACTGCTTGTTGATGCACAGACAGAAAGAACCTGAAGCAACCCGAGGACACGAAACAGAGGAGGTAGAAACAGCAATCTGGATGACCAAAGGAGATATGGTCCAAAACGTTCAGAAACCAAGGCGCAACTTCCGATTGGCTGCAAGAAGCTCCTGCAGCCAATTGGAAGCCCTGTCGGACATTTGGCTTCCAAAAGAACGTTTGAAAACCGGAACAGTCACTTCGGGGTTTGCGGCATTCAGAAGCCAAAACATCCGAGTACCAAGGTGTTTGGGATCCAAGGTACAGCTGTAATTTGTAAATCTTTAAGCCCAAAGGCCGAAAGTGTTTTGGTATTATAAAGGTAAAGCTAAAGGGACCCCTGACCATTAGGTCCAGTTGTGGCCAACTCTGGGGTTGCGGCGCTCATCTCGCTTTATTGGCCAATGGAGCGGGCGTACAGCTTCCGGGTCATGTGGCCAGCATGACTAAGCCGCTTCTGGCGAACCACAGCAGCACACGGAAATGCCATTTACCTTCCCGCCGGAGCGGTACCTATTTATCTACTTGCACTTTGACGTGCTTTCAAACTGCTAGGTTCGCAGGCGCTGGGACCGAACGACGGGAGCTCACCCCGCCACGGGGATTTGAACTGCCGACCATGCGATCAGCAAGTCCTAGGCTCTGTGGTTTAACCCACAGCACCACCCACGTGCCTCCTTAGTATTATACCAGTCCATAATAGGCACGGAGCATTTCTTATTTTCACAATAATTCCTTTTGGGAAGAAAGGGGTCCTTCACCTTTCTTGCCTTCTGTTCTGCGCATGCTCTCAAGCGCACTCTTTTGTGCCCCCTCGTCTCAGTGCCCTGTGTGGGAGAACAACCCATGCCACCACCTCAATCTAGCTCTGGTTCAAAGGGACCACGAGGGTCATTTAGACCAACCCCCTGCAATGCAGGAATCTTTTGCTCAACACAGAGGTTTCCGGGACCAATCGCTGGCATTTTCAGACAAGGCTTGGGAGAGACTTCTGGTCTGGAACCCTGGACAGCCTCTGCGATTACAGTAGACATTATTGAGCAGGATGGATTGACATAGGCCTGCTTCCTCTGTCCTAGATTAAGATCAAAAGTACAGTGGTACCTCTGGATAGGAACGGGATCCGTTCCGGAGCCCTGTTCGCATCCTGAAGCAAACGCAACCTGCATCTGCACATGTGCGGGTCGCGATACGCCGCTTCTGCGCAAGTGCGTGACGTCATTTTGACCATCTGTGCATGCGTGAGCGGCGAAACCCGAAAGTAACGCGTTCTGTTACTTCCAGGTCACCGCAGAGCGCAACCCGAAAACGCTCAACCTGAAGCAACTTCAGCCTGAGGTATAGGTAAAGGGACCCCTGACCATTAGGTCCAGTCATGGCCGACTCTGGGGTTGCGGCGCTCACCTCGCTTTATTGGCCGAGGGAGCCAGCGTACAGCTTCCGGGTCATGTGGCCAGCAGGACTAAGCCGCTTCTGGCGAACCAGAGCAGCACATGGAAACGCTGTTTACCTTCCTGCCGGAGCGGTACCTATTTATCTACTTGCACTTTGACGTGCTTTCGAACTGCTAGGTTGGCAGGAGCTGGGACCGAACAACAGACGCTCACCCCATCACGGGGATTCGAACCGCCGACCTTCTGATCAGCAAGCACTAGGCTCTGTGGTTTAACCCACAGCGCCACCCGCGTCCCTTGCCTGAGGTATAACTGAGGTATAACTGTATAATTGGTTACAGTTATGCCTGAGGTATAACTGTAGCCAATTGCGTTGGAGACGCTGTTTTCATCTTCTCCTTGATTCTTTCCTCTCTGTCCAACATACAGACACCCATTGGGCTTTTCTGCCCGTGCTCCCTAAATCACCCTGTTGCACCTGGGCAGGTCTCTCCAAAGGCTTGCTCATCCCTTCAGGCGACAGACACCCAGGGAGGCTGCGAAAAGGGGAGGCAAGCAATTCTTCCACTGCGTCGCAACTGCTTTCAACGTGTCAGCCAAACACACACACCCTGGCTCTGCAACAGGGTGTTTTTTTTAATACCTGGAAAACATTACCCATCTTTTCCCTCCCCTCCCCTCCTGCAACCTGGAACTGAACTCTTTTTTTTTTTTTTTAATGCCAACAGTTGTGCTGGAAGAGACAGCACGCCGCTTGCAAACCGTGACAAACTGCTCAGCTACTACCGGGCGGTGGAAAGGTGGATTGCGGATAATGCCGGAAGTAATTCCATAAATGAATTTGAAAAATACTGCTGGTTTGGAGGCCCATAACTCGTTTCTGATTCTCCAAACTGTGCATCAGGCAAGCAAATCATCCCTTATATCATTTCTCTGTCTTCACCGTCACTATATCTACGGTGCAGGGATGAATGACTTCAGGATTTGGCCCCAGAACCTGTGCCAGGACTCGGTCCTGAGCTGTTATATTGGTTGGTTCCTCTATGCATGTGCAGAGTGCTAGTCCACCAATTCCTGAAGTAGCAATCAGGCTGCACAAACCAGTGGATAGGTTTTTCAGCACAGACATCAATCTAGAAGGGCCATGTTTGCCTCTGCAAAATTAGCAACCTCTAGTGCAAATACAGGGAGTTTCAAGGGAATCTCTGGCAATATTTGGTTTTTGACATGAGCAATAGCTCAATGATTCTAGCCACAGTTCAGGGACAGCAGCAAGTCGCCTCTGAAGGACTCGTGCAAAGGAGAGACCCTCAGGCTTGTGGTTCGCCACTGTTCCCTATGAAAATTCAACCAGATTTTTCGTTGAAAAGCAGATTCCTTTTATGCCACGTTTGTGTTACAGCTGTGATGAGGACCTATTGGCAAGGATCTGTGACATCAAAAACACACCTCCATAACCAGTCTGCAAAAGGAGGGTGTGTGGTGGCCTGTGTGTGATTCAAAGCAAAGGATAGAAATATATACGTACTATGGAACTGTTCAACATAACAAACGCTATGTCCGCACAACTTGCATTTAAAGCATATGGCTTCCCCAAAGAATCCAGATAGCTGTAGTTGACCCCTCACTGCGCTACAATTCCCAGCAACAAACTAGAGTTCCCAGGATTTCCGTGTGGTGAGCATGTTGCCAAAGATTCAAGGGCTATATTTCTAGAACAACCACGGCCTGCACTGCTTAAAAACTGAGAGAGTCATCCTTAACTTCAGCAATGTTAAGCGGAGAAACAAACACACATAAGGAATGTTGGTCTTGGACCCTTTTCTCAGTGTTGATATATCACTTTTCTACGTGCATTGTAGACTCCAGCATTGCAGCCAAAGCTTCTCTCTGGGCAAAATCCCACAGCCAAACATATATGCTGCAATTATATACAAAAAGCCTGGAACTGCTAAAACATCTAATCCCGAAACGCCCTCAGAGCTCAAGGAATTCGCCGCCACAGTGCAAGGTTCTCGAGTGATCTCCCGCCAAGCCACAAAGCCACAGATACCCGTGAAAGATTTTCTATTCTCCTTTAAAACAAAACACACACAAGACAGGCAGACAAAAGGCTTTTGATATAAGTAGGAGCTTGGCGGACGGGGCGACGCTGGGAAGGATCAATCTGGGAGGCCCTCCCTCAGAAGGGAATTCCAGAGTGGCGGGAATCATCGTGGAAAATCACCGGCTTGATCTCGTTTGCATAACGAGATGGGAAGGGGCAGGTAGGTGAAGGAAGGCCTTCAGAATCCACAAGACCCTGCCCCTCCATCTCATACAGAACCATCCCTCTGTCTTGGGCCAGACCCATTCTGTTGTCTATGTTCTGGTAATCCCTAGGCTAGATTACTGCAAGACGTTTTACGTGGGGCTGCCCCTGAGGACGGTTCGGAAACTTCAGCGGGTGCAGAATTCGGTTGCTCACCAGGGCAAGATGGTTTGAGCATATTGCACCGATCCTGGTTTGACTGCACTGGCTGCCAATTAGTTTCTGGGCCCAATTCAAAGTGATGGTTTTGACCTCTTATGAGGCTCCGGACCCCAGTACTAGGGTTGGCATATGAGATTTCAAAGGCAGAATTGACATCCATTGGGAATTTCTGGAAAGCGGCGCTTTTTGTAAGAAAAGCTCAACAACTTTGGGGATTCCCTAAAAAAAGCTCAGCTATTGAAACACCCCACACAATACTTCAAGGACTGCCTCTCCCCATATATAACCAACCCAGACCCAGATCTTCTGAGGTCCTTCTTTGTGTGCCTTCTCCACAAGAGGCCTGGAGGGCAACAGCAGGGCCTTTTCTGCAGTGGCTCCCCACTTGTGAAATGCTCTTCCGAGGAAGGCGCACCTGATGCCTTCATTACTTAGGTGCCAGGGAAAAACATTCCTCTTCTCCCAAGCCTTTGGCAAACAATCTCTAGCCTTTAAACTGTATTCTTTTCATTTGTTATTATGACATACTGTATATATTTTTGCGTTTTCATATTGTAAACCGCCCACTGATTTTCGGATGAAGGGCAGTATAGAAATTTAATAAACAGAAAATAAACTAAATTCAGAACCATCTCTCAGACTTTGACCATGCTTGTTCAGAACCCCTCCTTTGACTTTGGCCACACCCATTTAGAACTGCCCGTGTCTTTGGCCACACCCATTAGAACTTCCCCTGTCTTTGGCCACACCCATTTAGAACTGCCCCTGTCTTTGGCCACACCCATTTAGAACTGCCCCTGTCTTTGGCCACACCCATTCAGAACCATGCCTCCACCTCTAGCCTTTATGGCTTTACACATCAGGAGTAAAACCGCAATTTTGGCTCAATTAGTGACCAGTGAGTGGCCTGCTCCCTTAGGACTTGCTGAATTCGGTAGGGCTGACTTTTGAGTAAACACGCATGGAAATTGCACTATGCAATCACTTTAAGCCAGCTGGGTCGGCCCCAAGACCTTGTTAACATGATATTGCTGGTGGTAAACAGTCTTTCTCACAAGCACAAACCCCGTCGCTTTCTTCCACAGAGCCATTGGATGAAAAGAATGCCAAATATTTGTTTGTGTGTGTGTGTGTGTGTGCTCCCCTCCAGCTCTGAAAAAGGGATAGTTAATAATGGGGCCTTTGACAACAGGAAGCGGTTCAATGCAAGCAGACACGTTTCCTCTTTGCTCGGCTGGATTGGGCCCAGAAAGTCAGGTGTATCCCAGAACCTGAGATTTCAGGTCCCCAACCTAGGGGCAGCCGCTGGAGACACAAATGCGAAAAGATCGGAAAGCTTTCTCACTGGCTTTAAAAAGAAATCCGTTGCAAATAAGAATATTTTATTTTAAAAACGGTTTGCAAACTGATGCTGGAAATGGTTCAAAAGAAACTTAAGAAAGGCTGGCAGGGAGGGGAATGTGAAGCCGAGATAAAGTGACAGGTTCACCCAGCTCTTTATTAGAGGGCTTTTTATCCGGCCCTTTAAAGAATCGATAGATGAGTGAAACCTCCAAGTGCAGTGGCAGTCTACCTCTGCAGCACTGGGCAACAGGAGGAGGAAAGACTACGAGGGAAGGGAGCTGTTTTCCTGCTTTGCTTGTGAGAGTCTTGGAATCGTCCGGCTGACCATCACCCGAAGCCTCGTTCTGGGCTCAGCGAACACCAGCGATCCAGCAGTTCTTGGATTCTTATATAAGAATGCAAGTACTGTACGCAAACGTCTCCACCTACTTTCTCAGGCTTGGATGGAAAAGTACTTGGGGGGGGGAGAGAGGACGCACCCCCTCTCTCACACACATATTAAAATCAGCTGCTTTAGGCTTTCCAAAGCTCTGAGGAATGTCATTCTCTCCCCTATCAGGTTACTAACCTCTGGCGATCAGAGGAGAGACAATGGTAACGAAAGCACACCCTTTGACAAGGCGCTATAAAAAGGTGGCTTTTGAAAAAATAGAAAACTCAGTTGTGCGGAGTGCACAATTCGCTCGCGAAAAGTTCGCAAGTTCTGTTCCCGGAATCTCCAGGTGACAACTCTCTGCCTGAAACCTTGGAGATAGTATTGGTAATATTGAGTTCTAGGTAGGGCCTGATTCTCTGCAAAATAAAATAAATAAATAAGGCCATTTCCTCTCTCCCTAAAAGGGCAGCTCGGTTTGGGAAGATCTGCATGCGATACGACTACCTACATTACAAGCCCGCCGTCACCGTTCATTTGCCACACTGAACTCCTTCCCCACATTTTTCTCTCTTTTTTAAGCATTCTCTGTCGTGGGTGGTCCGAAGCCAAAATTATTCAAAATGCAGAGGCACAGGGAACAAGGGGGTGGGGAGGACAGAAGAAAAGAAAGAAGAAAGTCTCATTGATTTAAATCGGAAAGATTTGACTCGCCCTCTGAAGCCAACAGGACTTAAATTGTCCTGAGCCACTGCTGGATCGCACCCAAACTATTTCCAAACCACGATGTCATCGCAAGACATGAACGGAGCCCCCTTCTCTCCCCGCAACCCAGTTTTAAAAACTTTGACATAAAGTTAAAACACTCCACAGTGGCAACCACCACCATTGCTGATGGGGCGAATTCGGCCCTGGATATCATTTTGGTCTGACTCCTCAGAAGACTGTGCCTCTGAGCATCTGCAGAGTGTTCTCCCTGAACTGCAAAACAAACCACAATCACCCTGCGCTTTTCTCAACCACAGGGTTGACCTCAGCCACCTTTTCCTTGCCCCAAATTTAAATCAAGCGGGTAAACAAATAAAACCACAATTGATTTTTTTCTTTTTTTGCTTAGTTAAAAATGAAAGTCTACTAACCTGCCGGCCATCGGTTTGGAATGAAGAGCCGAGTTCAGAAAAACAGCAGAGGCAAGTAAAGTCTTGGCTGTAGGACGGACAGATGGACGCCTGTCTTTTTAAATGTGCAGGTGATCTAGCGGAAGGAACATAGATGGATGAAGAGGAAGAGTCAAAATTTTGGGGAAGCAGAAGGCGGGAAAATTCAGGAAGGCTGTCAAGAGAGGAATAGCGTGTCTCCAAGGTGGAAAGAGACACAAGCTTAGATTTTGAAAGGGGGTCAGGAAAGGAAAGTTAATCTCAGACAAGGATGTCGACACTGAAGTGGGAGAACAGGGAAATGGACATTTCTGTCGATAGCTCCAGACCTAGACGAGTGGCAGAGAGAATAACAGATTGGCTCTGTAGGAATTACCAACACCACAGAGCAAAGCTTAGGATTAAAGACCCCAGGAAGCCTGGTCTAGGGAGTGACAAATCAGTCCCATTTTGCTCATTTCACGTCTTAAATTCCGCATTTCAATCCTTGTGAAAAATTTGCCACTGCTTGAGGGAGAATTTCTCCTGAGACACACATTTCTGCATGCAGTTTTGATTCACAAGCAAATTCCCCATATGTTTCCATCTGTACGGCAGCTTCACGGACGCATGCATTTTTGGGAACGCACAAGTGCATTTCGGTGCGCATTGTTCCGCTGAAGAACCGGGTCTTTTGAAATTTGCAGGGGTGCAAATTTCAAAGACTAACCGGGTTTTGAGAAGCGCGAACTGGGTAGCTCCTCGTCGGAATGCAAACGGAATTTAATTGCCATCCCCAGGACTGCAATCCTACTCAGAACCGCCCCTGGACAGGAGCGCATTCGACGGCAGTCCGACTTAGCGGACTGGTGGAGCGATGGGCAGAGAATCGGAGCCGTCCAACGAGGGATGGCTAAGGATAAAAGAGTTGGACGCGTGGATGGAAGAGCAAGTCAAGCAGAGCGGTTGAGTGACAGGCAGGCGGAATTTAGAAATGGAATATGGGGACAAGCGAAGAAATGTGGGCAGAGGACTTTGGAGCAGATAGATAGATGCCCATGGCAGGAAGGGAGGGAGATACAGATACAGAGATTTGGTGAGATCAGTTTAGAATCTGGACATTTAAGGTCCGATATTCCCCCCTCGCTTCCTTTCTTCAGACGGTTATATAGTCACACAATTATCACGTCAAACTTCCCACCTGCCCTTCCTCGTCGCAACAATAACGTGAGTTTCGTAAAGAGCAGCTTTAAAAACAAAACTCTGTCTCTCAGGCAGCAGCTAGGAAACACAGCGTGAAATCTTCATGAAGGTACATTGCACCACACCCCAACTGAAATACCAGCTCAGAATAATAATGACTTGACAACTTTCCTGAATGCAAGTAAACGGAAGGGGGATGTCAGTGAGGAGGGAAGTTCCATTCCTTTATAGTGGTACCTCGGGTTACAGACGCTTCAGGTTACGGATTCCGCTAACCCAGAAATAGTACCTCGGGTTAAGAACTTTGCTTCAGGATGAGAACAGAAATCGTGTGGCAGCAGCAGGAGGCTCCATTAGCTAAAGTGGTGCTTCAGGTTAAGAACAGTTTCAGGTTAAGAACGGACCTCTGGAACGAATTAAGTACGTAACCAGAGGTACCCCTGTACTTCCAAAGTTATGACTTTTTTGGGAGGTGGGGGAATGTCTGCAGTGTCCCCTGCCTTGAAGTCTTCCTATGCTAGCACCCCGGGCTAAAGCTGCAGAGGCAAGCGAAACAAAAGACTCACCTGAGCCCCTGGAAACAGGTGGAAGTTCTCCTGGTGTAGCTCTCCTGCCTTCCCCAACCCGATGGATTTCTCTCTCTGTTTCTCTCTGCAGAGGGAGTGGGGTAGTGGTGTCTTATCCAAGTCTGTTGTTGCTGCCGCTCCTCCTCTTCCAGCCTCTTCCAGGACGGAGCGCGTGGCCGGGCTGCAGATTTTTGGGGGGACCCCAAGAAGGGCTTGCAAAGAGAGATTTCCCCCTCCCCACTTTCCACCTCCCTCCTGGACTCTCTGCACCTCTGTTGGTGGTCCCGGGCAGTCTTGTTTTCCCGGGAAAGCAGGAGCAAAACTTGGGGGTTGATCTGGCAGGCAGAGAGCTTGAACTGGACGCAGAGACTGTCTCTTCTCCGCGTTTTCTGCCCCCCTCCTTCTCCTGCTCGGTCACTTCGCCCCCAAGCCGCCCCCCTCCCTGGCCTGCCTCTGGCCCCTTCCCCTTTTCAGATTCATCGATCCTTCACTCTTCCTCTCCCTTCCTCGCTCTGGCAACACCTCCCTCCCTCCCTCCCACCACGCCCCCCCAATCCTGTAGCTCCACCCCTTTCTCTGCTCCTGGCCGGCCCTCCTCCCTTCCCCCCTTTGCCAGGCGAATATATAGCCCAGGGTGGTGCTGAGGATGGGGGGGGAGAGAGAGAAAGGAACCCCCCCCCTCTCCCCACCATCAGAAACAGAAAGTAAAAGGAATGGGTGTTGAATGAAACAACTTCAGGATAAAAACTCCGATTGGAATCTGGCTGGAAAAGAACAGCTGGGTGATGGCTTAGAAGCACTGTTAGATTCGCATCCCATAATGATTGCTTGTAAATGGTTAAGCAGGGGCTGGGATTCAGCTTAACGCTTTTAAAAAAAACATTGCAAATAGTTTTTTTTAAAAACCATTGCTTGTTTTCCATCCCATCCCACAATGATCGCCTGTAAGTACTTAAGTTGAATAGGGGTTGGGATTCGGTTTAATAGTTTGAAAACCATCGAGGACAGCTTTTAAAGCCATTGCTTGGAGTTCCTGCTCAGAGTAGGCCCACTGAAGTGAATGGATGTGGCTAAATTGTTGTCTGTTTCAGTAGGTCTGTGATCCTGTTTAAATCAGCCCATCAAATCAGAATACAGTGGTACCTCGGGTTACAGACGCTTCAGGTTACATACGCTTCAGGTTACAGACTCCGCTAACCCAGAAATAGTGCTTCAGGTTAAGAACTTTGCTTCAGGATGAGAACAGAAATTGTGTTCCGGCGGTGCAGCAGCAGCAGGAGGCCCCATTAGCTAAAGTGGTGCTTCAGCTTAAGAACAGTTTCAGGTTAAGAACGGACCTCCAGAATGAATTAAGTATGTAACCAGAGGTACCACTGTAATGAGGACTGGAACCTTAATTGTAAAAAGGCCGAAGCTCAGATGGTTGAACACCTGCTTTGTATGCAGAAGGTCCTGGTTTCAGTTCCTCCAACAACTCCAGGTAAGGCCTGAAAGCCTGGAGAGTGCTGCTGCTGGTGGTCAGTGTAGACAATACTGAACTAGATGGACTTGTCAGAGATGCAGCCCATTGACATCAATGGAGTAAAGTGAAGACGTGCCCATGAATTTCATTGGGTCTCCTCTGACTAGGACCAGCATTGGCTACAAGCCCGTCCAAATTATCATTTCCATAGATTCCTCCCTCCCCCAAGAGTCGTTTGGGCATAATTGCGCTGTCGGTTTCTGCAGATGGATTTAACACCAATCTTTCCAAACAGATTGTAGTCTCTCAGGACTTGTTTGCCAACCACCTTCTCTCCCACTGGGGCAAATTAAGAACCTCACTGTCATCAAGGTTGGAACCCAGGGCTGCATTCACACTACCCATTTAATGCAAAAATAACATAAGAAATCGGTCTTTGGAACTCCCTGCCTATTGATGTCCATCAGGCACCTTCATTGTGCACTAAAAACATTTTTGCTCAGGCAAGCCTTTACAGCCATATGCTATAATCAGGTTTTAGCTTAATAGTTGCTTTCAACTGTTTTTTTATGGATACTTTCATTGTTTTGTTTTGTTTTGTTTTGTTTTGAAATGCTTTGAGGTTTTGGTTTCCTTTCAATCAAATGGCACACAAATTTTATGAAATAAAACAGAGCACACCTCACTTTCTAAAGAATCCTGGGAACCGTTTTTTTGATGTTGTGGGACCTGGGAGCTATAGCTCTATGAGGGGTTCCCAGAATTATTTCATTTTGGGGAGGGGTGTGTGTGCTTTAAATGTATGGCCTATGTGCATTCCTTGCTGGAGGAGACTCTTGAGAGTCCCATGGACTGCAAGAAGATCAAACCTCTCCATTCTGAAGGAAATCAGCCCTGAGTGCTCACTGGAAGGACAGATCCTGAAGCTGAGGCTCCAAGACTTTGGCCACCTCATGAGAAGAGAAGACTCCCTGGAAAAAACCCTGATGTTGGGAAAGATGGTGGGCACAGGGAGAAGGGGACGACAGAGGACCAGATGGTGGGACAGTGTTCTCGAAGCTACTAACATGAGTTTGACCAAACTGTGGGAGGCAGTGGAAGGCAGGAGTGCCTGGCGTGCTCTGGTCCAGGGGGTCACGAAGAGGCGGACACGACTAAACAACAAATGTGCATTCCTGCGTATTTATTATTTGGAATGTGACAGTAAAACCTGGAGGGAAACTGATATGCCTTTTAAGGGGAGAAACAAAGTGTGTTCTCACTGCCCCAAAAGCTCAGCATATTTGGGTCTGTGCCCCTCTGCATCATTCGGAAGAACGGCTCGTTTTAAAGGATGGAATTTGCCCCTGCAAGAAACGGCCACCAATTTAAGCAGCTTTAAAAGCGGATTAGGCCAATTCGGGGGGAATAAGACCATCAATGGCTAATAGTCACAATGGCTGCATGTTACCTCCAGGATTTGAGACGAGGTGCTTCTGGGTACCAGTCACTGAGGGTCACAAGCTGGGAGAGAAGGGGTGTTTTCCACTTGCTTGCAGGCTTCTCAGTAAGGTGTCTGGTGGAGAACAGGATGCCCAGCTCGGTGGGTCTCCTTTGGCCCTGATCCAGCAGCGTTCTTATGGTGATCCAGAAACTGCAAGGAGGGGGGAAAACAGAATTTGGGGGCTGCGTTCTCTGTATGCAGTCACGGGAGACAGGAAACACTACAGTGGTAATAGTACCTCGGGTTAAGAACTTTGCTTCAGGATGAGAACAGAAATCGTGCTCTGGCGGTGCAGCGGCAGCAGGAGGCCCCATTAGCTAAAATGGTACCTCAGGTTAAGAACAGCTTCAGGTTAAGAACAGACCTCCAGAACGAATTAAGTTCTTAACCCGAGGTACCACTGTATTTTCATCCTCAAAAGGAAGGTAGCAATAATAATAATAATAATAATAATAATAATAATAATAATTTATTTGTATCCTGCCCATCTGGCTGGGTTTCCCCAACCACTCTGGGCAGCTCCCAACAGATATAAAACCATGATAAAACCTTAAACATTAAAAACTTCCCGATACAGGGCTGCCTTCAGATGTCTGCTAAAAGTTAGATAGTTGCTTATTTCCTTGACATCTGATTGGAGGGTGTTCCACAGGGCAGGCACCACCACCGAGAAGGCCCTCTGCCTGGTTCCCTTTAACCTCGCTTATCGCAGGGAGGGAACCGCCAGAAAGCCCTCGGCGCCAGACCTCAGTGTCCAGGCTGAACAATGGGGGTGGAGACGCTCCTTCAGGTCTACTGGGCCAAGGCCGTTTAGGGCTTTCAGGGTCAGCACCAACGCTTTGAATTGTGCACGGAAACTAAATAATGACCAAAATAATGTTTTTTATTATTATTATTATTATTATTATTAATAATAATTTAGTTTTCGTGCCAGTTTGGGCAGGCTATGCATAATGCTGATTTAATAAAGGCCCACACAAAATATGCCAAAAGGCTTCCCATCCGCTGACAATCATTCCCAATAAGACTGTTTTGCAACATTTACGGGATATGCCCAACTTCAGAGCTCTCTTGGCAACTTCCCAGAGGAATTGTGACAGTCATGTGTGAAGGTTTTCACAAAGGAACAATAAGGGGGGGGGGGTTGGAATCTCATGAGCTCAGTGCAATTAATAAAGCACAGTAATGATAGATAGATATACACACACAACACAAGCTGCTCCAAAAATTCCAATCTGTTTGCAGAGCGAAAGGAATGATCATTTTTAGAAGCAGTGCAAGAGGGTATTTTTTTAAAAAAATTCCAAAGAAAACATGAATTCCTTTAATATCACTGTAAGCCCCATGATTTGTACTGAATCCACACATATAGAGAGGGAGCAATTTCAGTGTGCTTGCAAGCAAAGATTTTTAATTGCATTATTCCACGTAGGGATGTAATGAATCGATGAATCGGGACTGGACGTTTTGGCCAAAAATTAAGCTGCAGTCTCATATCCACTTTCCTGGTGCGAAGCCCCATTGAACACCATGGGACTTACATCTGAGAAGGGCATGTACGAGATTGCACGATTATTGTTATTTTCAAAGGGGACTTTCTGTCCCAGGCAAGGAACACCTAGAATCGCAGCCTACGGCTTCTAATTTCGCAGCCCTAATTTCGTGAGAAGCAATTGTAGGGGTGAGATCGCACGGTTTCGCGGCGAATCTCTTGCTTTTAAATTCCCGTCTCTCTCACCACACACACACACAGAGGTTTATGAATTCTGTCTGCCAAGACAAAATAGATGCAAAAGGGGGGAGGACAGGACATTCGAGAACTGCACAGGAGAACTGAATATAATCTATTTACAGCCCGCTAGGCATCAATGAAATGCTTAAAAGTTACAGTAATTAAAATATTTAATCATTGGTGGCAGTGATGGTGAGATGCACGTAAGAAATAACAGGTTCTTGAAGCCAGGGGTGAAAGCTTCCCTCTCTATCAGGCTCTCAGAAATCCATACCTTCCTCCTGTTTTTTGGAAGCGTTGCATGTCTGGAATGTAGAAACACTTGCTCAGATAAAGGAGCAGTGTATTTGCATGTTCATGCAACTAGGCCTTAGTTTGAGTCAAAGCTCATCATCAGGGATTATCCTTGAATCCTGTTTCCGATACAGCCTCCCCATTCCTAGAACATGCAAAGCGACTATGTCAGAACCGGCTATGGATAACTTTGCCACTGACTGCAGATTTCCCCCTTCTTCTTTTTTCAAATAATATTTATTATTTTCAATAGATAAACATAATAAAAAAATTTAACAGTAATAAAAACAAACAGAATAAAACAGAAGAAAGATAAAAGAAAGAAAAATGAAATGAAAACATACACACAGCATATTACCACTTAATTAATTAAAATTAAGTACCATCCATCTTCATAGACATAGTTTTTGACTTACTCGAATCTCTTCCATCTGAATTTCTTAGTAATTATATGTAGCAGTTTCCAATATCAGTATTTAAAAAGACCATATCACAGTCCTAATCATATTACATAACTTTCCTTATCTTACATTTTCTTATTTATAGATT